TTTTATCTTAATCCAATTTCCCTAAGGAGGACACTATCTAGTTGTTTCTCTAGTACATTCTCTATTCCTTTTTCCAACAACTATGTTCATATTCTTCCTCGACTAGCAAAGTTTTATTCACCAGAGTGTGGGGATTTGGGGATCTATGGTTCCATTCGTTCCTAACCTCCCAAATGTTCCATGGCATGTATGCATGCTATCATTATTTGTTGGCCTTGGTTGTTCTGAAACAAATCTTGTAACCTGACTCAATTTGGGAATCTTTTGTTTGTCTATTTGGACTTTCAAATGTGAAGTTGTGGCACACCTCTTCCACTCAAGGACATAGCAGAAATAAGGGCTTAATAATTTTTTCATGGTCCCCACAAACTGGACATAAAAGGAGTGTCTAACAATTTCCTCCTTCGTAGACTCCATCTAGTTGCTAAAGCACTCGCTATTATTTTCCAAACAAAAGTCTTAATTTTTTTATTGGACCTTTATCTTCCCTATCAACTCATATAGCCCTTCTGGTGTTATGAGGAAGTAGTATTGACTACTTCATTCCTTCTAGTTTTGAAGCCGACAAGTTATACCCACTTTTAACTTCATACCCACCACTACTTGTACTTGCTCATTTTAGCTCATTCTCCTGTTGTGTAAACCCCAAAGGAATAGCTAATATTTCTTTGGAAATATCTACTGGGATACAAAGATTGTATTAGATCTCTATTCCACTTCATTTGAAGCCTGACCAGTAGTTCTTCAACCTAGTACTTAGTTGTGTTTAATATTTGGGATTTGATTATATCCTGGCATCCAGTTGTCCTCCCAGATTTTGATTTCACCTCCATTACCAACCTGCCATATGTAACCTTCTTCCATTAAATCCCTCACCTTCTTTGATTTCTTTGGAGAAGGAAGCTCGAATGTTTTCATCAGCTTCCTCTTCTTTTTCAGCAAATCTCGCCATTATAAGTTCAGGATTCATCTTATCAGGGGAGTGTTCAGGTAAAAATTCGACAAGGGTGGTCAGAATAGGCAACATCTCCACAGGGGAGTCAAGCTCGTACTCAACAAGCTTCTCCTTGGTCACCAGCAAAAAAGGGCTTAAGACCATAGGCTTCAGCTAAAGCCACTATCCTAGCCTTTGTAGTATCAAGAGAATGGTGAAAACCTACAAACGAGACAAAAGACAGGCTAGAACCGTGATGAAAATGCATTCAGTAGGTGAGTATTTAAATGTCATTCTTATGTGTGTTCTTCGGGACCCCCCAAAACCTGAGAACACGAGGAATATCACCAGACACTCCTAACAATTCCTAGGAATCACCTTGAATGAAGAAGAACTTTGGTTTCCACCTTTTGTTGGAAGAAGGAAGCCTAGAAATCAAACTCTTCACCTTAATCCACTTGGCAAAATAGAAAAAGCCTAGTGCATGAGAAGACTTAAGTTGAAAAAGGTGGGGAAACTCACAAACGGTGGGTGGAGAAGTGTTCCCACTCTCACGCCAGTGAACAAGAAGGCCGACTAACAAGGCCCATCCATTGGGGGAAACCCCATACACATTATAGAAGGCGAGGACATCTGAAATGAAGGGATGAACAGGGAATCTAAGGACAGTGCAAAACGCCGAGGTGAAGAAACAGGTCATCCTAGGAATATATGAGTTACATCTCTCGTCTTCTTTGGGAGAATGGAGCAGAATAAAAGCTAGAAAGGAGTACTCCTCCCTTAGGACCTCCATGTCGTTCTTGACAATACAATTTAGAGTCAACTCGGCACAGCAAGTAAGATCAAAAAATGTCTCGTCGGACCTTTTTCCTTTTAGGGCCAAAGGAAACGGGAACACCTTTGGACCTCCTTTTCTTGGCACGGCTCATGACAATTGATGGCAAAGCCGATAAAGGCTTGACAGAGCGACCTGAAGTTGGGACCGCGGGAACTGGTTCAGGATCTTTAGGATCTGACACCCTAGGACAAAGCTCGAATCTCTATGCTAAGCCTAGCAAAAACTGATCACCTTCAACCGGGATAGTGTTGCCGACAAAAAGCTCCTCACCACCAAGAGAGAAGAGGCCTCTTAAACATGACCACTACTATGGGAAGCCAAAATCTCCTCAACACTCTCACCATTTCTTTCTTCGGACACAAGATCAAAAGTAGTTTCAGATATGACTCTCCCCATTGGGGCTTCAAATCGTAACTCGGAATGCAAAAAAGACATATGCAAAGCACAATCTGTCAAAAATAGTGGAACTAAACACCAGAATCTGATCAAGGTTAGCCTCAATAAGAAAGGGTAATCTACAAACCGCAAAAGAAAAGCAAAATTGTCGAAATTAAGTCAAAAGTAATTAAACCTCCAAATAATGAAATGGAACACACGACTCTGCCAGTTAGGGTTAAAGGGATCCAGAACGAAAGAAAGAGAATGGGTACGTACCTAATGAATGGCTAAGATCACTTCACAGAAAAACGAAAACACAAAATTCTCAAAATCACCGAAGGAATGAGGCAACCACCTTAGAGTTTAGAAAAGGGAAAGGATCGCGAAAAGTCAGAAATTCAAAATAACAGTGGAAAGGCAAGGGGCATTCCCCCCCCCCCCTCCCTTTTGATAACATTTATTAACATGATGAGACGCGGGAAGAGCCGTACCAAAAGAGCCTTCTCTTCCCGATGAGTGTCCTTTCCTGGCAAATCTTTCACATCAGAGTGAGTATAGGGGAACAGAACACGCTACTAGAACAACATTGTTAATCATGAACAACTGTCATCCACAAAGTAATCATTGCTGCGAAAAATCGATTTTAACACTAGGACAGAGCTAGAAGGTCATCCTCCTGACATGGGATTAGAGGGCAACTGATGATAATGGATTTAAGTCTGGCCCCCCTCAAGAGTCTAAAACCCTCTAGGCTCACAGAAGGTGACCCAAGCATTGCATGATAAATAACTTTTATTTGGCTCGAACTGGACCACAACCCAATTCCATAGAGGCTCAAAATAAATGAGCTCAGAATAGGTGCTAACTCAACGTTTACGAGGCCAGTATAGGTATTAGCTCAGGGAATGGGAGCACAGTACCAAGTCAGTCACCAAGAGCTACAGCATGACACGTGGACAGGAGACAAGGGAACAATACCTAACAATTCTAATGAACGAAAACCTATTGATAATGGAGATAGCTCACGTATTCCAATCGGTGAGTAGTGGGTGCAGAAAAACATTAGCTCCAGTAACAAAGACAAACATAGAGGGGACCACAAAATCAGCAAAAATAGATCAACACAAAAACCCTAATAGCCAAATGTATAAATAGCTAACGATACTACACAGAGAGTCATTCAAAAAAAAATTACCTAGCAGTAACCTAGGCAATGTTCTGTAAAAGACTTCAAGCCAAACATCTTGCAACCACAGCCTTCTTCCCAAGTAATACATTCCTCAATGAGCAAAAGTCACCCTTACTACGAATGTACCCTTAGTCCTTCGGCTAAGATGAACCACTCATACTGTTGTTTTCGTCCTACATCATACACGCGCACTCATTTACTCCTATATACACACGCGCACTCATTTACTCCTATATACACACGCATTCGCTAAGCCATATGCCAAGTTGTTTTGTAGTTCAATTTAGTCAATTTCGAGCACCTTCAGAAAACATATTGATTCATAAAGCAATCACAAGCTATTCCCTAGATTAACACAATTATAGGGAAATAGGTCGTGATTGGATGGGACGTTAATCCTCTTTCCCCAGTGGCCAAAGGTATCAACACTTGATCCTTCAAGCAACATTGCAGCTGTTGAAATTAATAAGGACCTTGTGTGTATGAAATATTTGATAATACAATATTGGTTTTTAATGAGTTTATTCCTATTATTTGCGAAGTTCTGATTGGTTGATATTTTTCTTTCCATTGTTTTGTTTGCCAAATGCCACTTTAAAATCCTCATTTTTTTTTGTATTGTTTTGAACAAATGGACTCTTTATGGGTTTGGGTTTAAATTTGGGTTTGGGTTTGAATTTGAGTTTGTGTTTGTGTTGTTACCTATGAGATGCCAAGTCTGATAATTAGTTCGGCCATATTGGCATTGGTTGTATTATGANACTCTTTATGGGTTTGGGTTTAGATTTGGGTTTGGGTTTGAATTTGAGTTTGTGTTTGTGTTGTTACTTATGAGATGCCAAGTCTGATAATTAGTTCGGCCATATTGGCATTGGTTGTATTATGATATGTGCAACTCTTGATAGGTATTAGGTGGTGATTTAGTTCACTAATGCTAAATTCACACGTTGCGTGATTGCATCCCATTTTGCAGTTCTTTGANGACTAATGCTAAACTCACACGTTGCATGATTGCATCCCATTTTGCAGTTCTTTGACAGTGCTAATGATTAATGTAGGGGCAGCNCACTAATGCTAAATTCACACGTTGCGTGATTGCATCCCATTTTGCAGTTCTTTGACAGTGCTAATGATTAATGTAGGGGCAGCACTGGAACATCATTAAGGACGATCTCCATCTCTATATCTATATTAATTAGGGATCAATTATAATTTTTACTTAGGCTATGGACCGTTAGAGAAGTTAAGTATCGGCGATGGCTATTGGACTCTGGTATTTGGCAGAACCAGTTATGGATTAATATTGATAGTCTTTTTGTTTAATATACTACATAAAAACACTTAAAAGTTTTCACATCCCACATGTATTAAAACTTTCTTTATGAACTTTATTGGGCTGACTTGACCCAACTTAGGCCCTTAACTGCTAATGGCCAGAGGTTAGGCTAAGGTTGAATCAGGGCCAATGTGTCCTTATCATTATGTAGGATTGAANCCTTAAGTGCTAATGGCCAGAGGTTAGGCTAAGGTTGAATCAGGGCCAATGTGTCCTTATCATTATGTAGGATTGAACTAGCTTTGAAACCGATCCTACACAACCCACAGCTACTGATCACTTTGGATTTAATAACAAAGATGTACATACATTTAAAACCATGGCCGTACCACGCTTATCAGGTGCATAGCCGTTCAAAGTTTCATACAGAGAGGATTAACTATGGCCGTTCCAACACGCTTGGCGTGTGTGTAGCGGACGACTACAGTATATTGAACAGAAAATGACCATTTTTGTGACCGAAATAGGAAAAAAGAAGTAGAGAAACACGAAATACTAAAAACAAACACTAGTGAAACCCAGTAATGGGCCTTGAAACTTTGTCTGATGGTATATCGGGTTGTGGAGATGGGAGCATGGTTAGCGCAAACAACCCGCTAGCGGCCGCTGCAATGGCTCCCACCACAAATGCTGGTAAATTACCGCCTCCAAAAAGGGCGTCCCACGGCCCGCTTAACACCGAGACCACCATCTGTTACAGAAGAAAAAAAAAAAAGACAAATTAGTCAAACCTAAAGTCAATTTCAATTTGATAGCCCATATCATATGTAATACATTAGGTCACTTTTTTTCTGGGTGAAGACAGTGAACCCAATGCCATGGGGTCATCTCCATACAACCTTGTTGGGCTTTTTCAAAGAAAAGCGGTGATAGGTGACTGTTTGCACCATGTGACACCTGCTAGTTATGAACCCACCACTATGTAGAAAAAGAACTCACAGAGAACCGTGGTTCAATAATGAAAAATTAAAATAAGGTTGAAACTGTGTTGAAATTTTATCCCTAATCATTGATTAAAAAAAATAATAAAATGAAATTTTTTATTAAATGAAAAGTTGAGGTATAATACCAACNATGCTAGTTATGAACCCACCACTATGTAGAAAAAGAACTCACAGAGAACCATGGTTCAATAATGAAAAATTAAAATAAGGTTGAAACTGTGTTGAAATTTTATCCCTAATCATTGATTAAAAAAATAATAAAATGAAATTTTTTATTAAATGAAAAGTTGAGGTATAATACCAACAAAATATATTATGCGACCTTAGTTGAACTCGTAGAATCATAGCAATCATGCATTTCAATATGTTAGTACATACAGATTCCAAACGGAGCCTTGGAGCAAAATCCTTAAAATTAATAAAATGATAAATTTTAGTGGGTTCCCTACCCAAAGATTTTGAAGGATCTTTTTTATTAAACCATTATTAATAATGATTTTTCAAACACTAATTATAAAATCTCAGCTAAAATCTTGAATTTGTTATAGGCAGAATTCAGCATAATAAAAGTGATTGTTCCGGATGGGTAGATTGTGTACAAATCTAATCTTTATCATTATTTTGCTTAAAAGTGATTGTCCTCATGTTCGAACATACAATTTTAAAGTTATCGAATCGAATTTTAACCTAGGCAAAAGTAATGCAAACATGTAAGCAGCCATGTTATATAATAAGCAATAAAAAAAATGTGAGAATTAATAAATAAGAGGCAAGTATTACCTGTGGTATAACTATGGAAAGATTTAGAACTCCTAGTGAGAGACCTATGAAATTCAAAAATCACAAAGCATCTTAGAAGAAGTAGGTCTTAGAAAACCCTTAGTAATGTCAATTAGAAACTGTGAAGCGCTTTTACCTTGCCCAGAACCAGAAGAGTTAGAAAATATGGACGCTAGAGCAAAGGGAATGCTATAAGTCACCTGCAGACAGAGAGAGAGAGAAAATTATATCAAATCTAATTCATTATTATTGTTAAATGGATAGCGAATTCTATCTGACATCTTCATTCATAGTAATGGATTAAGTCAAAAAATTATATCCAAATAGCATCGGGTGTCCCTTCATAAGTTGAAATATATCCCCACGAGAATTAAAAGGGTATGTTTCCAAAACGTCTCAGAGATTCAATGGATATCATTGGACTGTAAACTCTAACGAATAGTTCAAGTGGTAATGGGNAAATTATATCAAATCTAATTCATTATTATTGTTAAATGGATAGTGAATTCTATCTGACATCTTCATTCATAGTAATGGATTAAGTCAAAAAATTATATCCAAATAGCATCGGGTGTCCCTTCATAAGTTGAAATATATCCCCACGAGAATTAAAAGGGTATGTTTCCAAAACGTCTCAGAGATTCAATGGATATCATTGGACTGTAAACTCTAACGAATAGTTCAAGTGGTAATGGGAATAAATTGAAATTCAAATTTTCTCAGTTTGAATCTTGACAATAACTTGGGTCCATACCATGAAAGATTTATTTNAGGACTGTAAACTCTAACGAATAGTTCAAGTGGTAATGGGAATAAATTGAAATTCAGATTTTCTCAGTTTGAATCTTGACAATAACTTGGGTCCATACCATGAAAGATTTATTTCTCATGAATACCCAAATCCTAACATGGATGGTTTATATTTGACTAGATTAGGGTGCGAATTAGTTGAAATGCGCATAAAATGATCCGGATACCCTAACCGTTGAAATATAATAATAATAAAAAATACCATAGGACAGTCTATAAAAAAAATTTCAAGTTTGCTCGGTATAAATTAAAATATGATTTATTGAATATAAATAAATTCTATATCAATATACAACAAGAAATAAAACTCTAAAGAAGATAATATAAAAATATATTGAATAGAAAAAAAAATAACAATTTCTACTGTCAACTACTTTCAGAGCACAGAGAGTATCCCAATAGACTTCCAAAGAGGATAAACTCAAATTAAAGAGCGGGCTACTCATTTTTGCACTGCATTTATTTCAATCCACAATGAAAATGTTGGAATAACTTCAAACTCAACTGTTAAAGAAGCAAAAAGTGTCATGCCCTTCTAGTCTCTGGACCTACACGTGTGACTAAAACCCTAGCCCAAATGCCACGTACTATTTCGTTCCAAACCTCATTCAATTATAAGGCTAGGCACTGTGCCGAAGCCTTTTTAGATTTGGGTATTTTGGAAAACATTCAAAACCCAATCTTTTCGTTTGGTAGATAGCTAAAAAGCAAAATCTGGTCAACATGCCCATTTGTATGTTTGCAATGCACACCAAATACACGTTTCTTTAATCAGAATTTTGTTAATCCATTGAGTAATTAACCTAATCAAGGATAACAATAATTCAATAAGCAATTTGTTAACTGGAAAGATAGAACTCACCGCCAGAGGGATACCCAAAACTGCAAAGAGAGTCAATGCGCCAATCTTAACACCAGGCGCCGGCGGAAGAGGGGTTGTGCCGCCACCAGGAGCCGCCGTGAACTGCCGTGTTGACTCAGCCATTTTGGTCACTAAAACAGTCATAGCCAAGCAAAAAGACAACAAGAAGTTGACACACCCCCACAACCTCTTCACCCCTCCAACCCTACGACCCAAAACCTCCACCGTCAGGGAGGTGAAACCCAGCACCACGGAGTTCAGCATCAACCCTAATGCACCCGCACGAACACCATGATCATACATCTTCCCCTCTCCAACCTTACCTCCATAAATCTCTCTCCCCATCCAATCAGTGTCAAACAACAAGAATGGAAACCAAGCAACCCAATTCAAACATGTCACCAACAGCAAAATCCACATGGGTCTAGGTAACTCCTTCAATGCACCAAAGATTTCCCCAAAAAATGGTAATCTCGACTTTTCACCCTCCCCACGCGCCACCACGTCGCCGGAACTCTCCTGTTCCGATGGGGATATTGACTTTTCACGTACTGTGGTTAAGACCAGTATTGTTAGACTCAACAAGAGAGCTATGGAGAGAAAAAAACAGCTTTTTAGGTTTGCACAGTACACATCACATGCATGTGTTTTTGTGAATGGGAATAGCTTGTAGAGGTGGGTGTACGAGCCGGCAGCGAAGCCAAGCACGTTGCCGACGGCCATGAAGAAGGAGTAGAAGGCGTTGGCGGTTCTGGTTTTCCGGGCGTTTCCGCCGGAGAGATCAGCCAAGAGGGCACGGCATGGACCCTGAAAATCAAACATAACAGTCAAGAACATCCATAAATCAAAAACATTAAATCAAACACTTTCTGTTCGTGTTTCTTTTTCTGTATAAATTATCCATTCTGGTTAATTTTAATGGAGATCTAGCTTGTGTCGTACCTGTAACATATTGTTAGCGACGTCAAGGATCCAAAAACCGACGATGAACACGGCAATGGCTCGGGGTTTTGGTGTTTTCCCAAGTGGATCACCGGAGATGTGACCAATATCAGCAGCATAGCCGATGAGGAAGACGGCGACGGAAACTAGACCGGCTCCGGCGGCAATAAAGGGACAGCGACGGCCAAAACGAGAAGAACAGTTGTCGCTGTAGTATCCAACGATGGGTTGTACGAGCATGCCGGAGACAGGTCCACAGAGCCAAATAAAAGCAGCCCAAGTGTGTGGAATACCCAATAGTTGAACGTATGGGGTCAGCAAAGAAAGCTGTAAAGCCCATCCGAATTGTATCCCGGCGGCAATAGAGGACACCATGATTATGATTCGCAGCGGCGATTGCGGTGATTGTGGCGGTGGTTGTTCTGGTTGCAGAGATGATTGGTCTTTCATGTTCACACCACCACCCTCCATCTCTCTCTCTCTCTCTCTCTCTCTCTCTGTAATCACTCTCTCTATATTTGCATGTATGAAGTGTTTTGCTTAGTGCAGAAGGGAAGTGATTGATGAAGAATGAAGGTGGTAGGGTATTTATAAGGGGCTTTGGCGGCATTGCATGGGGGGGACTTGGCAACTGTAAAGGGTTTCCTTATCCATAGTGAGAAAAAATAAAATGGTAAGTTTTACTGCAAACCTAGGTGTCAATGTAATCACTTTTTGCAGGAAAAGGTAAGCAAATCCAGAAATTTAATGGCATAGGTATGGCAGCGTCGGTTCTTGCCTCTCACATTTATGGATTTACCCCTCTTTCGGGATTTAATTTTGGTACTGAAGAAGAAGGTGCGATATTAAAACTTATATATAAATTTTAAAAGTTAAACATACATATTCTTAAGTCTAGATATATACAATACAAAACAAAACAAAATTAAGATTGATTTATCTTTAAATATTACAATATTTTGGGATCATCTTAGAATTTTTTTAATTAAAGTTACAAGTATTTAGGGTATTTGGGATTAATTCCAAAAACATTAAAAAAGTTATAATTTAACCATAAAAATTTTGTAACTCAACCACAAAAATTAATATTTGCCCGTATGACACGAGATTTTTTGGGGGGTACCGTAGAACTTGTCCCTTTTCTTGTAGTTTTAATAGACAAAAAAAATAGACAAAAAAATATGATAGAAAAAGATATGATTGATATCTTATATCATTTGGCAGTTTATATGATCCACTAATAAATAATATGATTGATATCTCAATCTAATGTGATTGATTGTGTAAAATACACCTGAATAAATCAAGATACTACATTAAACTATTAGGTGGAAAAACATTAGTCAATTAAGGTTGGATAAGANTAGACAAAAAAATATGATAGAAAACGATATGATTGATATCTTATATCATTTGGCAGTTTATATGATCCACTAATAAATAATATGATTGATATCTCAATCTAATGTGATTGATTGTGTAAAATACACCTGAATAAATCAAGATACTACATTAAACTATTAGGTGGAAAAACATTAGTCACTTAAGGTTGGATAAGATCTCCAAGTTGACTAGGATAAGTAAATGTTGCTTGGTGATTTTGAGCTTCTTACATATGTGATATGTCTACATATTTTGGGATGGTTAAAATAACACCAAAAAGATCTTATAATTATCTACAGTGTCTAAGTAAATACATTTTTTGCCCAATGATTCAAAATTATGTTTAGGAGCTTAATGTATTAATGAACGTTATATATATAATGTGCTTAAAGGATTATGGAAATCTTTCAATTTCTAATATTATGCTCATTCAAATTTGGAAATTACATCTCATTTATTAAAAATTAAGACATACTAGGGATGCTACATGGAAAAAGGTCGTTTGAATTTTTAAATTTGAAAAAGACCAAAAGGGGAGGTGAAATCAAAAGCCTGGATGGAGGATAACAAATAATTTAGTTAATTATATATATATGCTAAAAAGACGCAGAATGACTGTGCATGATTAAACTATTTAATGATTCCAAGTAATGTATGTAGATAAGAAAACACATGTGATATAAACAGGTGGCAATGACTCTTGATAGGCTATGCCCTTTTAAAGTAGTGGCTTGGTTAATCAAGCTGGATGCCGACCTACTTATAACTGAGCTAGACAGATGGTGAAATTGTTTGGTCAATAAGGATGCCGAGCAATGAACCGAATTGAGTAAGGATGAGAGAAATCAAGACTAACTCCGCTAAAAATGGAACTGATCTAGAAATAGTTAGACTATCTTGAGAAATCAAAGACAATGCATAACTGATAAGAAAGTTGTCCAAGTTATAGGTGAACAGACTAAAATGTGGCATAAAGAATAGGCGAATCACAAAGAAAGCCTAGGAATGCTCTAACACGAGTTACGAGAAATTTGCCTAAAATGAAGGTATGCCGCCTTCCACAACCAATAGCAAAATCCTAGAAGAGGGTACAAATCACTATTAATACAAGTAGAAGCTTAAGTTTAAGGTATACGCATTATCTTCCTTGCAAATTCCTTTTGTTTATTCTCAGACCTCTTACTAATTTAAGTATCGGAGTGCCTCCGACCGATTAACCCCCGACCTTTGGCAGTTTATTTGTTTTGTAGGGGCATAACCTGTTTGTTTACTTTCACATTAATTGTTCTTTAGATTTCACATCACCTTGAACTAGAGGTACAAGTTTTTTTCCCCCGTAGAACTGTCGTTGTTTGTTGGAAAGTGAACAAAAAGCCAAGTAAAAACTATGAANTTTGAACTAGAGGTACAAGGTTTTTTCCCTCGTAGAACTGTCGTTGTTTGTTGGAAAGTGAACAAAAAGCCAAGTAAAAACTATGAAGTATTCTAGGATCGCCCCATGATAAGTAAGGGTACAATATGTACGACCCTCAACACAGGGTATCCTTACCCTCTGACAACGACGTTAGGGAAGATGTTGCAAGAACCTCCCAGAAGAACAACAAACCCTGACAACGTGTCATCGGGACGACACTGCTCGCAAGAAGAAACCTTTTGCGACGATCTCTATGAAGATGGACCCAATCAAGGCGGACCCTAGCCCTCTAGTGAGGTCGAACCTTTGGAAGGGAAAGGGGGCACTACTCGAAAATTATTTCTAAAGTATCTGAGGCCCTAGACCTCTAATGAAGCCGAGCCTCTAGAAAAGGAAGAGGCACTATTCAAAAAAACCTTTTAAGTATGAAAAGTCATAGCCCTCTAGTGAGGTTATACCTCTAGAAAGGGAAAGGGGCACTACTTAAAAATTATTTCTAACAATTCATGCTCTGTTCCTTTTCCGATAGAGGCCCTAACCCTCCATCGAGGCCAAGCCTTTAGAAGGTGAAAAGGGCACTACTCGAAAATTATTTCTAAAATATTTGAGGCCCTAGTCCTCTAGTGAGGTATAGCCTCTAGAAGCACAGAGGGGCACCATTAAAAAAAATTCTTTAAGTATGAAAAACTCTAGCCCTTTAGTAAGGCCAAGCCTCTTAAAGGGGAAGAGGATACTACACAAAAATTATTTCTAAGTATTTGAGGCTCAAGCTCTCTAGTAGGGCCAAGCCTCTAGAATGGGAATAGGGTATGAATTGTTAGAAAATGATTAATATGAAAATTTCTTAAAATATACACAAGATATATTTTTTAGTTGTAAAAGACAAATTAAACAAAAGTTTCTTTATATTAGAAAAAATAGATATGAGTACAAAAAATATATACACATATTTTAGGAGAGTTTGGTTGTTGGTGCAACAAAAGAAATAGAAGAAGCACTAGCAGATTGAGTGCTTGGAAGACCAACACCATGGCGGGAGTACAACTCTGAGGTTAGAGGAATACCGAAAACATGAAAAGCTTCATCCCAACACTTCTTAAAATGGGTCTTCTCGATCATTGGAACTTATTAAGCAAGATCTTCTTCATCCTTCTCTATCCTATCCTCAAAAGCCACATCTTTCCGAGCTCTTAAATTGGCTTTGAAGGCTTCAAATTTCTCAAGGAGAGAGACGTGTTCCTCTTGGATATGGGAAAACTCGCAGGAGACCACCACTTCCAAGGACTTTAAGTCGTCATTCAGAGACTTCAAATGATCCCTCTCCTTCTCAAGCTCTGTCATTTGGACCTGAAGAATGAGCACCTCCTTGCAAAGCTTAGAAACTTCGGTGTCTAGGTTCTCATTTTTCTTCAAATTGGTCATACGGTCCTAGTAACCTACTTCATAATCTAATCCTTCCTCATGATACGCGCCCCAACCTCATAAACTCACTAGAGACCTTGTAAAGAAGCTGATACTTAAAAAAGAGGAGTCAAAAGAACAAAAAGAAGTAATAAGGAAATAAGAATGATGTATCAATACCATTTGCTTAATAATGCTCTGAGTGATCTTATAGTCGAGCATCTTCTCACTGGCAGCATNATAGATATGAGTACAAAAAATATATACACATATTTTAGGAGAGTTTGGTTGTTGGTGCAACAAAAGAAATAGAAGAAGCACTAGCAGATTGAGTGCTTGGAAGACCAACACCATGGCGAGAGTACAACTCTGAGGTTAGAGGAATACCGAAAACATGAAAAGCTTCATCCCAACACTTCTTAAAATGGGTCTTCTCGATCATTGGAACTTATTAAGCAAGATCTTCTTCATCCTTCTCTATCCTATCCTCAAAAGCCACATCTTTCCGAGCTCTTAAATTGGCTTTGAAGGCTTCAAATTTCTCAAGGAGAGAGACGTGTTCCTCTTGGATATGGGAAAACTCGCAGGAGACCACCACTTCCAAGGACTTTAAGTCGTCATTCAGAGACTTCAAATGATCCCTCTCCTTCTCAAGCTCTGTCATTTGGACCTGAAGAATGAGCACCTCCTTGCAAAGCTTAGAAACTTCGGTGTCTAGGTTCTCATTTTTCTTCAAATTGGTCATACGGTCCTAGTAACCTACTTCATAATCTAATCCTTCCTCATGATACGCGCCCCAACCTCATAAACTCACTAGAGACCTTGTAAAGAAGCTGATACTTAAAAAAGAGGAGTCAAAAGAACAAAAAGAAGTAATAAGGAAATAAGAATGATGTATCAATACCATTTGCTTAATAATGCTCTGAGTGATCTTATAGTCGAGCATCTTCTCACTGGCAGCATTATCAAGAGGGAAAACCACCCCTGAGTAATCCCAACTGCCATATTCACGTCTTTTACTGTCGAATCCCATACAATGATTTCCCTACCTTTAGCCTTCAAAGTAAGGCGAAAGAAAGAAACCACTTCTTTATCATGGCCAGANATATCAATACCATTTGCTTAATAATGCTCTGAGTGATCTTATAGTCGAGCATCTTCTCACTGGCAGCAATATCAAGAGGGAGAACCACCCCTGAGTAATCCCAACTGCCATATTCACGTCTTTTACTGTCGAATCCCATACAATGATTTCCCTACCTTTAGCCTTCAAAGTAAGGCGAAAGAAAGAAACCACTTCTTTATCATGGCCAGAT